CCCCCGCCCAGCCCTACCCGGGACCTCCGGGTCCCGATGCGAACCCTCGACCGGCGCCCACCGTCCCCGGAGTTCCTCTTCGTCGAAGAGGCTCGCCGTCAGCGTCGCTCCTGGGGAGAAAACCTAACCTTCTACACCGGCTGCTCCTATCTGGCCGGCGCAATCGGCGGCGGCGCCACCGGTCTCCTCTCCGGTGTCCGCTCCTTCGAGGCCGGCGATACCACCAAGCTCAGGATCAACAGGGTACTCAACTCCTCGGGCCACACGGGTCGGGTCTGGGGAAACCGGCTGGGCGTGATCGGGTTGATCTATGCGGGTATGGAGAGTGGGATTCAGGCGGTGAGAGATACGGACGATGTTTTGAATAGCGTCGCGGCCGGACTCACCACCGGCGCGGTGTACCGAGCTGCGAGGGGCGTGAGGTCTGCCGCGGTGGCCGGAGCCGTCGGAGGAGTCTTGGTCGGTGTGGCTGTCACGGGGAAGCAGGCGCTCAAGCGATACGTGCCGATATGAGCAGGGAGAGTTCGTTTGTGATGCCAGTGGTGTGGTATTATTGGCTTTTTCTCTGTCTCGTTAGGGTTTGGAAATTTTGATAGTCCCGTTAGGAATCGGAATTTATGATAAATGAATATATGTGGGCAATGCATGGTGTTTCTGTGCTTGGAATTTTAAACGGAATTGATTATTTGATTAACAAGTAGTTGAGCATGGGAGTGACCATGCTTTCATACTAGTTTTCTTGTTAAAAGTTCTATTGTAATTTGTCGAATTGTCCTGATAATGAATAATTGGGATGCATTTAAACTTCTGGGTTGCATTGTATATTCAATGATTTTTTAAATTTGCTTTCTTTACTAACGTGTGATGTTCAATGTATTTAGTGATTACTTATTCTGCGGTGGAATTGTTTTGGTTTGATGTTCAGTCGACATCTTTTTTATCTATTGTTTTCAGTAGTTGATTCATTATGTCTGTAGCATGTTCTGATTTTAAAGATTGTCAAAGGATGTATGTTGCTAATGCTACTTTAAGCGAGATGAAAGGGTTTCCTCAGATGTTGGTCATCTATTTTTTTGTGTCAAATTTGTTTCAATCTGTCTTCGTATCATGTTTGAAATTATGAAACCCTTCAGGGCTATTGATGCTAGAGAGAGGGCCATTGTGGCCTTTGGCATTCTTATTGTTAGAATCTCTGTTATGTTGTTCGCTTATACCATTACGGGGATGTGAAGATTGGATGTGGATGCTGTTATGGTAGAAATCTTGCACTGAATATCAATTCGAGTAATACTTGTTTAGTGGTGCAGGGCACCCTTATTTTGAGCGAATTTAGGAATCTGATAAATTTTGATTTGGGAATAGTAAGATTCTTGTTTTGTGGTCTTCTTCTGTTGATGTAGGTTGCATACATCTAGAAAGTGAAATATAGACATATCGCACATCTTTATGAACTGCTTTGATACTGTAGCTCTGTCACATTGTCCGTAGTGGTAATATTACTCTTGTATTCCACTAGGTGCAGTATCTTACAAAATTGAAATCATGCCTTGACGTTTTCGCTCCATATATTATTGTATCTTGCTTTTTGCCTTGTATTTGAACCTGGTTGAGCAAAAAAAGCTACAAGTTTTGTCACCTGGAATTGTTTTACTAGCTACTGCAGGTGGTGTGGGTAGTTTTGAACGTGAAACCAACGTCAAAGTACTAAGAATCTCAACTCCAATTTGAATTTCTTGGAGCCATCCTAAGGATCAGCAGTCTAATTCGATGAAATGATCACAAATCGTATTTGTATGATGTTGAAAGTAGGTTTACTGAGTTCACACAGTGCTTTATGATTAGATAATTTGCTTTAGCAGTATTTCTGACCGGACAATCTTCAACCATGGAAGGTCCTCCCTCGTTCAATTTTGGATTGCCATAGTTGTGATTTACTTCGTATTTGTGAAAAGGTTAAAGAGAATAGTACATGACATCTGGGGAGTTTCCACTTCTAGATTCATAGTTTCAATTGGGATATGAAGAGAATCAGTGAAGTTGATTTGTGAATTTTGCTCATATAAGCTATTTCATTGAATAATGCTACAATTGGTCTTCCGGCCTAGTGGATACTTTTCCTCGTTAAGCATACGAGGGGTGAGGTTTGGACTTTGGAGTTCAATATCTGCCTTGTGCAAGATTTCCCTGATTAAAAGAAGAAAAAAAAAATCTAAATAGAGATGGAAGAGAAATTGATGAAATTAGAGTGGTATGTTTGTCTTTTCAAAACACCCTTTCGGTTTTAAAGATAATGATCATGGTCGTCATCGTGGTGGCCTCGGCTCCATCCACTTTGCTCTCCGCTGTGCGAAGTGCAGGAGAACAGTGCACGATGGGAGGTGATCCCTGAAGTCGTCCCAAAAGCGCATTTGGGATCATACCCTACTAGAAGTTAATAGTGGCTCCAGTATCTATCCACACTACTATCCTCATCCACCTCAACGCAAAGGTTGTATGAAACATCTCAGACCTATATATCAACTACTGATATGAAAACGTTTCGCCCAGTCTTTTAGACTTCTAAGAATTTTAACCAGTCAAGAAAGTTCGAGCATTCAAGAACGGCTCATGAGTCTATGTTTCTTAAGTCTTATGTATTAATGAAAATGTTAGTTTTCAGAATTTCCCAAGATTTGCACAGGAAGAAATGTGAAATGTATTTCTGAAGGCTATAATTGATAGCTATAACCACGTATAAACCCTAAACTGCTATAAAAGTGAAATGCAACTTACATTGAAGAGGTTATGGCCACTTAATGGAGAAACACTTACCTGAAACGGGAATAAAACTATTTTGCTATCCTTTGCCAATCACAGTACGCAGCGCGTGATAACTTTTCTATGTGACAGTACGTAATTGGTTGGGGATAGCATTGTTTCATACAAGTTTTTCTGCACTTAGTGAGGCCTAGTTACCACTTTGTGATAGAAAGAGCTGCATGGTGAGGGTAGTAAGAATGCATCTTACAACTGCACAAATAGGACAGGATAACAACAATGTTATATACGCAAGAAAGTAATATTTGAATAGAAGTTGTAGCATTATAACCAAATCTAAACCTTCCAATATTCACAATTATCTGAGGAAAAACATGGGTTAAAGTCAAATTTATTCTCGCATACAATGGGGTATTATACTCTACATGAGCAAAATTACTTCCGAAATCTGAACCCTCGATCAACCCCTTTATTTCAAAAAGCTATGCCAACTTTGAATTAAAAATGAGCACTACAAAGTGAATTCCTCAGTTATACAATCATCCGAAACCCAAGTTAAAGACTGAGAAGAACAGCAGGGTATCATTCAATTCCCTTGTCTTGACAAACCACACAAGGGAAAAAATTATTTGAATTGAAGATCAAAAAGCCGTTTATTTAGAGCAACATCGACTCGGGGTTCTCAATGTAGCCTTTGAATGCTTTAAGCCATTCCGCACCGATTGCACCTAAACAAGAGCAAGCGGCATTAAGTTGTTATCTATTTCAGAGACATATACAGCTAGTCCTAATGATTTGAGATTTTCAATTCCAAGAATACATCAGATGGACATACCATCAATAACACGATGGTCACAGCTTAGTGTTACAGACATGAAGGAAGCAAACTTGTATTGCTCGGGCCCAGAACTAGGTACAACCCTCTTCTCAGCTGCTCAGGGACAACACAGAATAAACATAAAAATAATTTTGGTCCAAAGAAGACATAATTAAGTTCCAAACTTACCTGATCCAACTGCAAGAATGCCTGATTGAGGAGGGTTAATGATGGCACAAAATTGCTTGATGCCAAATGGACCTCCCAAATTCGTTACTGTAAATGTGCCTCCCTTCAAAGAGTATAAAACGATTTTAGATCAAAACCACAAGGTTATTACCTGCAGACAATAAGGGGCATAGAAATGTTACTAACCTCATAATCTTCTGGCTTTAAGCTGTTCTCTCTGGCTTTTTGGGCCAGCTGCCTGACCTCCTCAGCTATGCTGGAGAGTCCCTTCTTGTTTGCATCCTACAAATTTTACAACGTACAATCAGGTAAACTGCCGTTATAACTAAGTATTCCCAACAGCACAGGACCAAGCCAATCACTCACCCTAACGACAGGCACAAAGAGTCCATTTTCTGTCTGCACTGCAACATTAATGTTCACATTGTGAAACCTGAGAATAGAAAACCGCAAAGTGTTATTTCAACTGTAATATGGCAACTTAATTAAGACTTTTGTATCTAAACTCACTGGCGGATATGATCATCTGTCCATGAACTATTGCATTGAGGAACCTTTTGAAGAGCCAAAGCAGCAGCCTGCAGTAATAGTAGCATTGGAGTGAACATACGGTCATAAAGGTGTTATATACCTCCAGTATACTTGATTTTTTATTTGCTCTTACAAGAAATTATAACTTGTCTGGGTTCTAGTGATCTCTAGAACCCATCAGTCTCCCACTTCATATACCTTTTTTGATAGACTAGAAGCCACTCTAATGATCATGAAATTTCATTTCATCATTCTAGTGATCACAAGTACCCGTTATCTCATTCTGCATTCAAGCACCTCATAAATTCCATTGGTCTTACCATGGATGGAAATTTGTACCTCAATTGGGTTCTCAAAAAATTCAGTGAAGAAAAAATCGTGTACCTTAATTACGAGATCATTAACAGATAACCGCTTCCCACCTGATGCTTCTTGTAATGCATTGAGTTGGCCTCTCAAACTGCAGATAAAATAAGAGTTAAACATATTGCAAGATATGCAATTAGTACAATCTTTAAATTGTTCAGAAAATTATACTCACTCCATGAGTCTGTCAACACATGTATCTACAGTCAAATAATAATGAGGAATTGTTTGCTTTGATAATAATAATCTCGAAGCTGTGATCTGCAAAAATCAGACCAGATAGAGCTTCAGAAAGAAAAAACTTCGAAGTAACAACAGAGATTAAACAATTAATAGATGAAAAGTCCTTTGAAACATGTAAGCGAAACAAACCAAGGAAACATGTCCAAAATTTTCAGAGACAGTACTTCAGGTACACCAAAGAAATAAATATAGCAGTGAGAAGGAATGGATAGAAACAATTTTGCCACAAGGAAAGGGCAAAAGCAAGAAAAAGAAACAAGAAGGAAATGTTATGGCCCTGATGAGGTTGGAGCCAAACACGATTCGTGCAGTATACCCCAGTAGTTAAGATCCAACTACAAGTACAAATCTCGACACATGAAACAAACAGAAGATATTGGCCTAGATATCACATAAAAACGATTCCATGCATCCTCTCAAAACCATTAATTATGACATAAAATAAGTACAATAATTACTTCTAATATTACCTTCCGTATCTGAGAATGAGGGATATCGGTGTAATCTAATGCTAATGCAGCAGGTGCCCCGCCCTTAGCTTTGGGAGCTTCCTTCCCAAGGGAAGCTACATAATTATGAGAAAACAAAAGAAAAATATCAAACACAGTTTTTAATCATCAGCTGGATTAGATTTTTCTTCACAAGAAAAATATGGTAGACAAAAGGTTTCAAGGACGAAATGAACCAAAAATAAATCAAAGTTAAAATAACAACGAGTGATATTAATTATTAAACACGAGTCTTGGATAATACCCAAATACTCTTCAACATCAGCCTTCACAATGCTTCCATCAGGACCTGTTCCTTTGATACTTGATAGGGGCACCTAAAGCAACACAGAAGTCAGAATTGGCTCAATGACGGTAAGTGTTTCCTACCATCAAATGATAATAACTCAGCCACAGAAGTTTATATGGCATACCTTGTGCTCTTCAGCCAATTTTCTGGCAAGAGGACTAGCAAATATGCGATCTCCAGAAGGGGCAGCTGCACTGGGCTTTGAAACCTTTGGCTCTAGAGAAGTAACTGGTTCTACAACCACCTCCTCTTTGGGAGGGGTAGGCTCAGGTGACGCTTTAGCTGGAGCAGCGCTGGCACCTGATGCTGATGGTGTGTAATCTTTAAATTTTGCAATATCTTCCTCATCTTCAACAGTTATTGCAATCACCTATGTGCCAACACCATTAGCAAGTACTCACATTATGCCAAGATGTTTCTTTCTATGTAGTCTAATTTACTCCCATTGGAATGATGAAATAAACATCTACCCAAGATCTGTAACAGTTTAACTAAATCAATACCTCACCAACTTTGATTCCTTGGGTCCCATCTCCTCGTACAATCTTGGCAAGATAACCGTCTTCCATGCTTTCCATCTCCACTGTAGCTTTATCCTTAACACGTAAGTGGATATAAAGTACATGTCAGCTTTCCATCATGAAAAGAAGCACATAAAACTAACAATATGCAGATACGCAATCAACAGACTCAACGGGTAAGTGGATGTAAAGTACAGGAACCTACAGTTTCAACTTCACAGAGCACTTCACCAGGAGAAACTTTATCGCCCTCTTTCTTCAACCACCTTGCAATATTACCCTGCATATCATAAAAGCATGACTTAGAAGGAAACAGTAAATTTTGGAAGGTATGACATTCCAATAAGCCTCAAAACAGTATGTACCTCAGACATAGTGGGTGAAAGAGAAGGCATTCCAAGTTCTTGGTGTGGAGGAAGGGCTGAAGGGTTTTGCACAGATGAGTTAGATGATCATATGACTCAAGATAACACTTTTGAGGATGACCAATTCAAAAGTACAAAATGAAAGAAGATCGCACTTCAAAAGGAGATGCATATCCCAAAAATGATCAAATAAAATATTCACAATAATCTCATAGTTTCACACAATTCCTTTTGGAATCCTGCTGTGCAATTATGCTGAACAAACTAGAAGATGAGAAATGTTGATCCATGCACTCACAATATGTTGAAATAAACTCACATTAAGAAAACTACTTCCCCATGCATTAAAGTAGCAGGGATCTTGAAAATATAATAAATAAATCATTATTAGAAGATTAATGGCTAGTACCTACCCTCGAATCTTAAAAATATTCAAATAGAGTTATGGGAATAAAAAATTAACCAACACAACAAAGCCAGTCATTGATGACAACAATACACTTTCTATTTCCATCATGACTAACCTAGAAATAGATGAGCTTGAGAAATCTCTGAACAGATAATAAATTATTAGTGCTCTATGCTAGAAACTTGTGTAGTTGAAACAGCTCTTATAAGGAACATGAAATGCATTATCATACTAGGAGATCCAAAAGCCAATGTTCACTCAAGGACACAAAAGTGCATAATAAAATTAGATAGATGCAAAAGACCAAGATCATACCTGCATCGGATGAAAAGCCTCTCCTCAATTGCACCTGCATACTGATAAGGGTAAAAGCAGATGTATCAAATAAGAATTTTCCACACAGATACAAAGTAACAAAATCTAGGACAGCATACCATGAAAGCTGTTTGTTGGATTTTGAACCAGAAATTGAATTTCCTAGTTTCATTGTCGTTGAGACATCCCTGGTAAATGTACCCGACAATGATTTCTACAAAACATGACATATGATGATGTTATATAATTGATACAAAGTTCACTTCGTTAAAAATAAAAAAATAAAAAAATAAAAAAAGTTTGTGAAAAGATTAAGAATAAAAATAAATATAAAAAAAGATAAACGATTAAAACTTTTGCATCTATTGCCATATTAACATGATGGAAACTAGTTTAACTTACAGTGGTACTGCTGAAAGACCTATAAACTCTTGCTCTTTCTGAAGGCACATAACTGTGGCGATGGGCCTTCCGTATATCTGAGATAAAATTGACCTTGCTTAAATCAACTAAACAAAATTTCAGAAGCAATTTGAGAAATAATCCAAGTGGCTAGTTGCATCCAAATGACGCCAAATATCTTGTGTCGCACATTGTACAACAAGACACCTTTAAAAAAACCTACTACCTGGACTCCAGCTTAAAGACAGCCATAGTAAACTAATGCAGTTAGGTCATCAGGTCAGCAAGTTATTACTTATTTCATTTTCACACGGAAAACAATAAATAAATAAATAACATAGGATCAGCTTCATCATATCATATCTACAAGATCACCTTATTTAATCTGCTTAATTCTAACCATCAGGTCTGAACAAACATATTCATGGTAACAATTTATCAGGATTAGCTACTTCTGTAGTCATAAGCAAGATTAGCTTGAGAAATTGACAGGAAGAACTAGTTAACACTTGAAACAAATACATACATATACCACAAGAAAAAAAGGGGGCATTCCATTTCACTTACCAATAGATGGTTGAGCATCATGAGAAAAAAAACGAACCAAGAGGGCCTGCTCTTGCCGTAGTAAGTTGGGAGCATTCCTTAACTGCAGTGCACACAAATATTGTACAAAATTACGTCTTAAAAACCATAAGTTACATAGATTAATACTTGAAACATACCTAAATCAATGATATAAAGCACCTACAAACAGAAAAACAGAACAATAAAAACAAGGGCAATACATTTTATATAATTGCCTATCTTAATTCGGCAATGTTAGCTAGTAAACACTATTTGGTTAATTGGGCAATGTTAGCTCGTAAACACTATTTGGTCATGGTAACTACAAACAAAAATAGAAAAACTTGTATCAACAACCAACACCGAAAAACTAGACTTCAAAAAGCACGATACTCTGCCTACAATTCCAAAACTAGTGAAATTCAAATTAATGACACCCTGGACATAGCATAGCTAAATTACCCATTTGAGAGAATTCAGTCTGGAAGTAACACTACCTATCTCCATCTATATAAACACACGCCCAGCCTCAAAAAACGAAGAAACAAAGGCCATATAAAGGAAATATATACAGAAGACAGTCCCTACTTTCTACCAAATTTCGAGTTACTCAAAAAGAATGAAAAGGTATGCTGAAGTATAAACAGTATCCTCCAATTACTACCAAGTTAGAGAATTTAAGTCTTCGAGTGAATTAAAATCACTATAATCAATCTAAAACGAGGCTGAGATTCAAGATTTGTGAAACTAAAACAGTAAAAACACAGTGCCTGGCGACAAACCCATTAACACAATAAGCTTTAAATTGAGAATCTCAATGCCTGAATAAAAACCAATCGCTAAAACTCTGAAAATTATCAACAAAAGGCAAAAAGTGAAAAAATAAATAAAATTTTCATGAGAGAAATGGTGAAATTGAAGCTCACCTTTTTCGAGTGGTGGATGATATGAGATGCGTAAGACATTTTTCTGGTACCAAACCGATCAAATAAAAAGTACCCAGAAAATAAAAAAACAGTGAAGCAGGGGTGTTAGGGTTCGATGATCGAACCAGATCGCACTGACTTTGTAAAATATATATAGGTTTTTGTGAATTATATTTGTGCGCTGGAGAGACACTGAAATGGAGGAGGAGATGCAAAGAGAGAGTTTTTGGGCTGGGCTTTGTTTATTTGTTTGTTAGATGAGTAGGCGCCCGCCTTTCTGGAATTACCTAACTTTGTTTAAGCTTACAAAACTCACCCCCTCACTTGAGTAGGTGTGGCTGCTGTACTTCACGAGCCGTCAAATTTTTACAGCTGAAATGGTCCTTTTTTTTTTTGGGGCCATAGTCTAGCAAAAAGAAAAATAAAAACATGATATCTTTCTTGGGTTTAAAACCGACCTCTAGTCGGGCTCTGTGCAGGATGTTCGTTCTTTAATAAATATTGAGTTGTCGATATGACATCGATAATGTGTCGATATCATTGTCGTTAACAAAACATATCAACATGTTATCGCTACATTGATACGCATATCGACAATATGGTCTTTTAACATGATATTTACACATAGAATTTCTATTTAAACAACTCTAAAAACAAATTTTAAAGGCCAGAAGTATAACTTGACCTTTTTTCCTAATGATTTTATTCACAATCAAAAGTTTATTCTCCATGCTATAGGGATGTTTGGTTGCATGAAGGAATGAAATGGAAATGACTAACGAGAGTGAAATAGAAATAATATAACTTGGTTCTAAATTGGAATCAAATCTAGGCTCAAGTTTCTAGTTCAGATTTTTGTCCCAAAATCCATGTCAAATTTAGGGTTTAGATCTCGTTTCATCGAAAAATTAGTTTGTTTCTAGGGTTCTTGGTTTGGCATGTTAATTCAAGTTCAATTTCAGAACTTAAATTTAGATTCATATGCCAGCAGTCTTGGCTCCTTGTCAAGATATGAGTTTTGGAAGTTGAAATATTTTAAAGTAAAGTGAATTGTATGAATGAAATGCGCATTCCCTACTCTAGTTTGAAATGCCATTTCTAGTGTATTGGAGGAAGGAGAATGAGCATCATCAAGTTATATATTTGAACCAAATAATGGAGTGGCCTTCAGATTTTGCATAAAACTATAGTTTTTTTTTAAATTTCTTTTTAGGGATAATTTTAAAATTTAAGCTAAGCTCTCACTTACTGTATTTCAATGAGAATAAAACATTTAAAATAATCACAAGCAGCAATACATCCAAGTAAACAATTGCAAGCATTGTCAACCATTTGTTTAAGCTCCTCATGTTAGACCTTCATAGCTTCACAGAGCCCAAATCCATTTCTTTGACCAAACCAACAAACCTTCCACACTTGTGAGAAGTTTATTTATTTATTTATTTTAATTTTAAATATAATTTTTATTGGGGGCCATTTGAATGTATAAAGAATTATTGGGCCGCAAAATATAATTTTGCGAGTCTGGGCCCATCGAGACATCGATCTTCCAACATGGGCTTTATCCAAATAAACGGAAGGACACGGGAAGCGGGAGAGAGACAGATGTCGTCCTCTTCCCTCGAAAACTGTTTAAGAGAGAGAGAGAGAGGGCTTTAGACAGAGAACGGAGAGAAAAAGCTTTGAGGGGGGAAAAGAAACAGAAAGCTTTGAGGGGGAGAGAGAGAGAGAGAGAGAGAAAGCTTTGAAGGGGTAGAGAGAGAGAAGGAACTTATAATGGGAAACCAAAAGCAAAAATGGACGGCGGAGGAGGAAGAAGGCCTACTGGCCGGAGTTGCAAAGCACGGCCCGGGCAAGTGGAAGAACATTCTCAAAGATCCCGAATTTTCCTCTGTCCTAATACACCGCTCCAATATCGACCTCAAGGTTCCCCCCTATTTACATATATTGCCACTTACTTCCCTTTTTCCCTCTGTTTTTGTTTTTGTTTGTGTTGCTAAGTTTTAAAATTAATAAATAAATAAATAATTTGGTTTTTTGAAAGCTGAATTGGTGGTGTTTGAACTGTTAGACAGATAGATAATTCATTCAAGTTCTGAGAAATATGTAATTTCCTGCTCAGAAAACAGAGGGAAAGAAACCCTAGGTTTGGTTTTGTTGTCCAATGTGCATTTGGTTATGGTTGTATTGGCTGCTGCTGTAATGCTTCATGGAATTGAATTGGCCCATAAAATGTGACTCTCTTTGGTCTTTTCTTTTGTTTTTAACATATGATGGTTTTCAAATGCTGTTTACTTGTCTCATTTTTGCTGTTTGGTCCCTTGTTTTGTTTTGTTTTGTTTTTTTGTTTTTCGAAAGAAAAAAAGCTGTTTACTTGTCTCATTTTTGCTCTTGTATCAGGATAAGTGGAGGAACTTGAGTGTTAGTACTTCTGGACATGGTTCTAAGGACAGACAAAGGGGTACAAAGGTAAAAAATAGTGTGGCTGCCCAGCACCTTGTTCAGAACTCTGCTCCTATTGCTTCAGTTCGTCCCAATGCATCTCCTGCTTCAGCTCCTCCCAATTCATCTCCCGCTTCAGTTCGTCCCAGTGCATCTCCTGCTTCAGTTCGTCCCAGTGCATCTCCTGCTTCAGTTTGTCCCAATGCATCTCCTGACGCCATGATGGACGATGCGGTTAATAGCGCACCAGAATTGAAAAGTGCTTCACAGTGCGTGTTTTTCTGATCCTTATGTTGTCAGTCCATAGAAACTGTGTTTCATATTTCTGGTTGATACTGCTTTTTTTTAGACCGCGTTTTAAATAAACATGATGTTTGTGACTCTGTTTAAATTGTAGTTGAAAGTCTAGAAATGTATGGTATGTCTTATAAAACATTTTAGATTATAGGTGCCAAAGATGGAGGGATATATTCCTGAATCCCAACATGCACAACTTGAATTAAGAATTGAAATAAATTTGCTTCTCTTGGACTTGGTTGAAACACAGTTTCAAGGGGCATTAGAGATCTTTGAAAATGTCAAAGCTGTCTAAATTTTTTAAACTAGATAGAGCCAGTGTTGACCTTTTGTGTATTATGATACAGTACGGTAGGAGGAAATGAGCTATTTACTACAGATCCAGCATGTTTGTATGATATAGATGCAATCGTGCAACCTCTATTGTGATAGAAATTGAAATTTAGTTTGTTCGTTAGTTTGATTGTTCCATTATTTATCACAAGTTAAAACTGTGCTATTTACTGTCTTAACCATTCTAAAAAATTTCTTTTTTTTAAGAGTTGATAGCCACACTTGTTATGTAATTCTTCTGCCTTATGGATAGGTTTTTGTTTGAGGTATCTTCAAGGTACTTGATCCATTCTTTATTTATTTTATTTTTTTAAACTATGTTCAACAGGTACGATCCAATGATTTTCCAGGCCCTTTCAACGATGAAAGATATGAATGGATCTGATTTAGGTGCCATTCTTAACTTTATTGAGGTCAGAAAGAGGTCTTTTGTTATGTGTTATTAAAAATATCTTATCAAATCCATTTATTCTGAAAAAGCTGTATTACCTTATGGAATATTTGTAGCTTAGTTTGGGAATGCTGCTGCTGAAATGTAAAGGAATTATGATGAGAAGAATCCTGCATTGCATGAATCTTTTCAACTCATCATATATTCAAACTTAAAATTTTGTTGCATGAATCAAAGACTCGAGCAGTGTAAGGTTGGGAAGGTATATGTTAGTTTCATTCACCTTCCATGGGGTTACCAGTTGACTTGATATTTCTTTATCTGAGCAGCAGAATGGCACAGTTACTGACTCCTTGCCTCTCACTTGTATTTTTGAGTTAGCAATTAATCTCTAGCTGTCTTTTTAAATTTCATCTTAGTACAAGAAAGATGGTGACTGTCTTGATACACATACTGCAGCAAAGGCATGAGGTACCTGTACCACTAAATTTCAGAAGGTTATTGGGTCCAAGGTTGAGAAGGCTTGTTTCACAAGGAAAACTGGAAAAGGTTTATGATTTTTTAATACTTCTATTTTCTTTCTAACATTTCTCTACGTTGCTATGTTGAGTGCTTCTGTCCTGTCAAAATTTTGTTATCAATTATACGACACTCTTGTGATGCTTAAACATTCTGAGATTTCCCTTCCTCCTAAATGTAGGTGCAAAATGGCTACAAGTTAAAAAAAGATGCAACATTTGGAACAAAAACACCTACACCTACGCGAAATCAAAGGGATGTTAGGCCCCGGAAATTGCAGAATTCTGGGTCAATGACATTTACTGAAACAGTGCAGGATGCAGCTGAAACTGCTGCCCATAAACTTGCAGACGCTGAAGACAAGTCCTTTGTGGCTTCTGTAGCAATGAAGGAAGCAGACAGGATTTCAAAGATGACAGAAGATAACGAGTCAATTTTACAGCTAATTGAAGAGATTTATGAACGATGTAATGCTGGAAACGCATATGCTTACTTTAGTCATTGTTAGTCTTTCCATTATCTTGATGCGTCTTACCTTCATAACATTTGTTTCAATCTTACAGGTTCACATGGTGAAGTTGTCGCCTTGGCGTAGGTCATCAACTGTAAGTCTGAATAGTGGATTCCTTGTAACTTATCCGTATGTAAATTCGTTGATCCAATCACACAGTTTAAGCTCTTTCCTTTTCATGAAAATGCATTAGTATGCGGTTATACTAGAAGTCAATTCCATTTGGATGGTGTTTTGAGTGTTCCTGGATTCAACCTACAGCTATCTGCTTGTAAGATGTTTTCCTAGGTGTTTATGTCTGTCTTGTGTACTCTAGCTGCTCGAAGTCTAGGGTTGGTTCAATGTTACATTCCCATTAGGAACTGGGAAGATACTGTGGACATGGTTTAATTAGGGCTTTTTAGCAATCCCTTTCAATCTAGTTGACGATATCAAAACAATAGGCAGAGGCTCATTTCCGATTTAGGGGGTGTATTCAATTGGGATTTTAAAAAACTATTTAGGGATAAAAGAGTCTAGTGGATTTATGCAGAATATAATGACTTATAGGATTTTATTTATGGATTTCTATAATCAAGATTTTTTAACTTATGAATTTTAAAAGATTTATATCATAGGATTTATAAGATTTGAAAGGACCACATGGATTTAACTATCCATCATCATCCCTATTTAGAGTTAGCCTCTTGTTCATGGCATAACTACACCTCTCCACTCTTGAGGTCCACCATGACTTGGATTAAGCAATCGCAAGTGATAAAATCCATTATGCAAAACTATAATCACAACCATGATGGAGCACATTGTGCTCTGTTAGGGCACAGCTGCCATGTCACCCACCATTTATAGATGTCCTGTTAACCTATTTGTAGGAAAATTAATGAGAGAAGATGTCCACACCACAGTATGTGAGTTCCTGAGTAATGCATGTGATTTGTTTGGCACTTCTATATATACATGCAGTGATGCCAATTTTACCTAAAAAGAGACAAATATGAACTGGGATTTTCCAAAGTGACAGATAAAAAGGCTCTCAAACATGTTGTAATCAACTATAAAAGTTCCTTGAATTTAACTTTATTATTATTAGATTTTCATTATTCTAAATAAAGGATTGTCCATCTAATGATTTCATATTGTTCTTCGTCCTAGCGAGCTAGCTAACAGTCCAAGTTATCAGCGAGCTTCCCGTTGAGGAGTTGGTGGGCGGCTCCATGCAGCAACTGCTGCTGCTGCTCAAAATGGGGAAGCTCCTTGGAGTTTCCCGTCAGGTGGTGGGCAGCTCCACGCAGCAACTGCTGCTGCTGCACAAAATGGGGAAGCTCTTTGGAGTTTCCCATCGAACAGGTGGTGGGCGGCTCCAAGGGGTTGCACAACAGCCCACCATGCCTAGCAGGGACCTTATAAATAGATTCTTCCACACAACTCAAGTGTAATGAATCACATTAGGAATCAATTTAGGTGAAAGACCTATCACCAATAACAGCTTCACCTTGCGTTTTCTTTGCTTACAAAACTACCAAGTTGCTCCATTTGCCAGCTTTCATGAGAAGGAACATGTTCATGGAAAGGAGTGCATTGCTGCCAAAAACACATTGTGGATTTATTTATTTATTTTGTTTTATTAATATCCAGAGACATTTCTTCTATTTAACCAAGCAAGCCCGTTCATCAACATGAAGAAAAAAAAAGTCAGGTTATTATTATACCTCCATCTTCACCACAAGTTCTTTGGCTTTTGGAGCAGAGACAACTGCATGCCGAGCACATGGGTTAATGAAATCTTCAACGCCAGCAGAGAAAAAAATCTCACACAAAAAATATGATGGTTTAGGGTGTGGTTTGAGATAGGGTTTGGTAACTCTTCTTTAAAATTCCTAATAGTCTTAATGGAATGCCACGAAACTTGTTTATATTATTTAAAAGTCTTAATTGAATAACACAAGATTTATTTATCTCAAAATTGTCTTTTAAAATCGTGTTTAGTTGTGAGAATTGTCAGACAATTTGTAAGATAGGATTAAATCGGAAATGAAACTTACAAGGATAGGAACGTCACCAAAGAAGCTGCTTTTGTTGATGGAGTGACAATTATCCAGGGCGTGACGGGTAGGCATTTTAACCCATCAAATCGACCAAATTAACACAAGAAAAGTTATCATTTGATAAATCGAACCGAAACTAATTGTGGATTATTTTAATGACATTATTGTTGTGTGTCAAGCTATTATTCGTTGGTTGAATGAATAAATATGAGATTGCACGCACTAAATTAATAAAACCACTCTGGATAATCAATTGCCCCCCTCTTATCTCTCAATCCTACCCTCACTCAGCTATGAGCCTCTACATTTAGAATGGATGCATTTTTCCACATTTCACTTCATCTAGTCCAAACCAACCAATAAATGGACGAAATCGAACTAGTGTGAATTGTGCCCGGCCCAAGTGAAATTGAGCATCCCCAAATAAACATGCCTCGGATGAAAGTCCACATCAAATCAAGTTCATGGAAAGACTAACAGCCAGTCAGCATTTCAATATTCTTTTGCGTCTCAACAATAGAAATTGCAGCAAAGAAACTTTCAAAAAATTGCTCGACTGGCAGACAACCTAAGAATCTGAAGGAGTGGTATCCCACAAACAATGCAACCTCACAATCAATATTATAAGCACATATAACCTAAAGTGGCTCCTAGTTGACGCCACAATCCAAATATCAGAGCTCAGATTCATAAGAGCACAAGCCCGAGCTCCGATGGTCTCAATGCACTTCTGATCCGATAATTGTAGAGATAATAATGAAGCTTACCATCACCTGGCCCAAATTTCAGTTCCTTCAAGAATGATTCATTTTGCATGACATCCAATGCATTGAAAACATCATAATCGTTGCGCTTTGCAACAATAAGAGCATCATTCATCAACTGTAGCAAAGGCGTCTTTGTCGAAACATTATAATAGGAATAAGCTGCTTTCAAAGACGAATAATTCTGATTGCCAAGGATAGTCGAAGGAAGAGTGTAAAAACTGCAGAAATCAGTGATTACATGAGTTTCTGGACTTTCAACCAGATAACTGTTCACAACATTCTCCTTTGGAAGAAGCCAGTGCTCCACGTCGTTTTCATCAAGATCAGGTGCAACAACAAACTGGCTCAAATAATCCCTAAGTAGCCGTGTAACTGCAGGAACATCATGGAGCTCCATTTTTCTGAACCCTGGGGTGACTGTTGACTCGGGTAACTTGTAAAGTTTGATTGTTCGACTCATTGTCATTCTTGCACCAAGTCTAGAGAACCCAACATCAATCAGTTTCTTTGGATTCAAAGATCTGTGCCAATATTGGCAAGTTGATATAGGCGTAGGGAGAACAACACCAGCAGTATAAGCTGCTTGCCATATATTCTCCAAGTGAACCCTCCTAGTCACCTCTTTGATCATAACAGGAGCAAGTCTCTTTGATCTAAGCTTCTTATGAACGCATAGGAAATTAATCTCTGCCATGATAACAACATCATTACGAACCCGGATTCTAGAAGGAACACCAGTAATGAAGGCAACCAACTTCTTTGAACTTATGACCCGGACACCAATGTGCCAACTCCTGAAATAACCTGGAGGCCGTAGCGCCCAACGAAGAAATTCCTTTGAATAATTAAATCTGAACATGTTCTCATCATCCTCAACATAGTTATTTGTAAGAAGGTTATAGACCTCAGTGCACATCTCTTCTGAGTCTATATCACATGTGGTCCATTCATAGAGGTTGGGAAGTTTGTATGGTTCCTGTTTGACTTCAGATAACGGTATTGGGTCCTCAATTGAACCTTCAGGCAAACTGTTGTCCCCGAGGTCCTTGAATTGCCCAACAGGTTGGGTTTCCCAAAATTTATGTTTCTTTCCAACAGAGAAAGATTCTTGAACCTTTCGGGATAGAGAATCAAGTGTAAGGTCATTCTCAGAAGGTGCATTTCCATCAGGATTGGGGTTTGGAGTGTCTTCAGGTGATCCAGAAGATGGGTTGCTATCAACCATTTTGAACTAGTTTTAAGAAGATAGCCTGAAAGACAAATAACTAAACCAATTCATTATTCAACAACATATTTCTTTTTCTTTTTGCGCCAATATACATCATAAAAAATAATCTTCACATAAGCTTGTTAACTGCTAACAAATATATATACTTTCAGTTACAACAAGTATATATTTGCTTAACTGGGATGACCAATGAGGATTTCATTTTCCTCTCTTTTTTCCAGTTTTGTAAAAACCTAAAAAACAACTAATATCATCCTAATTTAACCATACTGCACTGACTCAATGCTTCTTTGAAAAAAATAATAATTAAGTTAAACAAGCCAGGAATAACTATCTAAGTTACTTGAAACTAGTTTTCCATTTCCATTCTGTTTTCTCTTCTTTTTTTCTCACACTAAACACATCCGAGAAACAAAATTTCAATTTCTTTATATTATTCTCTTCTTAGCTCAATATTCCCACAAAAATTTCCTGGATCGATAGTGAACCTTGATTTTCCCCGAGTGCCCTTAATTTTCTCAGTAACCAAACATGTTGGGAGACAATGCATACAGAAAACAGAATGCCTGGACGATCTAAGCAGCAAAATGATCAGAAAATTCCCAATAATCACTACGAATTCAGCCACAATTATAAACAATTTTAGCTTCTCATCTCTCTAAACCCATACCAAAACCAGAAAGCAGAGAAACAGAGATTAAACTATATAATTTTTATTTTATAAAAGGATGAACTGTTACCTGAAGTTTCTCTAATCACAGTAAAGTTTAGAGCCGATCTATCAGAGCTCCGTCTAGGGTTTCAAGAGAGAGAGAGGAGCTTTGGAGAAGTCGAAGAGGGTGTGTCATGGATGCTATAGAGTCGCTCGATCATATGCAATTTTAAACTAGACTGATGGGCAAATTTGTCATTGTGTACGCGTGCGTATTGTTATTGATTGATTGATTGATTCGATTCGCTCCAAATTTTCATGGAAAATTTAGCTATAATTATACCTCAAAAAATGACCAAACAAAAAATAAAATAAAATAGAGAAGCGGACGGGAAATGTTTCTTCCCACAAGTGATTTTGGCTTACAAACGAGTCCTAAGAGCACTTCCACCCACAAGGGCTAATTCTAAGACAAGGGCAAGCAATGACTGCTACTATTCATGTGAATAGTGTCAGCCTTTGCATTTGTGGTTCCACCCATGAGGGCAAAGTCTAGGGCAATTACTATTTATTGTACTTTATTTTCTATTTTTTTTTATACTTTAAACCATTAATTTTGATAATATTTTGTAATTAAATTTTCGGATAAAAAATATTGGATGGAGAAGAGTTGTATGAAGATTTGGTGTGGAAAGTAAATAAAATGGTTAGGTATTTTATAGAGAAAAAATACATAATTTTTTGGTATTTTTTTTATTTTTTTTGTTTTTAATTTTTTAAGCCAAAAAAACGAGGACCGTCGGATTTCTGGAAAAAAAGATCGGAGCGTCCCTGTCGCAACACGTGGCACAACGGTAAAAAAATAATTGAATTTCTATGCGCTGACGTCAGCGATGACGTCATAAAACTTAGGCTGAAGCCCAGGCAGAACTTGCCCTTGGGCCTGCCCGGGCTGGTGGGACCCAGCAGTTGCCCGGGCTGGATGTCGCGCGCTGGAGGTGGTTTGGGCCAAGTCGGGGGTCCTTTTGCCCGGTTCTTTGACTGCGGTGGAGTTGCTCTAAGTGATTATGAGTATTTATTTTTGTGCACAATGTTTTGTTGAAGAATATGAGTCTCGCATTATAAATTTAACTAAATAAAATACAAAATATAATGAATGATTCTAATACTAATAATACCGAGGCCTTTTATGATAAAACATTACACCTACTGGACTTTGTATGTGGTTAAGTTATGAATAATATTGGTGTTGTTAGTAGTAAGTCGTTTGCCCGTCTCTCTGAATTAACGTGGTATCAGAGCAGGTTGATTGATTGGACTTGAATTGGGCCTCTACCCTTACCTAATATGTGGTGCTCACATGTTGGACTTGAATGTTTACTCTTAGCCTTTACCTAATATGTGGTGCTTACGTGTTGGGCTTGAATGATTGACTCCGATATGAACTTGGCTCCACGTGTGGCCACTATGTGGTGGTCCCACGTGAGGGGGCGTGTTGAAGAATATGAGTACCACATTGGAAACTTGACTAAATAAAATACAAAATATAATGAATAATTCTACTACTAATAGTACCGAGACCTTTTATGATAAAACCCCACACCTACTGGACTTTGTAGGTTGTTAAGTTAGGGACAATATCAGTGTTGTTATTAGTGGGCCGTTGGCCCGTCTCTCTAAATTTAACATGTTCTATGTTCAAATTTCTTTTTTTTTCCCCCAAGATTTTATGTTGTGATTCTTCTTTTAATGAGGTTCTATAGTTGTTCCAAAAGATTACTACAAGTGAAAATGAAGATGTTCAAACTATATTTCCTAGTTAATAATTAGAGGAAACTACACTAGTCTCCATGGGAATTTTAGGGGTACATTCCTTTGCAGTAATGTAAGACCCTCTTGCTAATCCTCCAATAGAATGTTGATCCAACAACACCACTAGACCTCTAATTAGAGCTCAATAGATAAAACATGAAAGTGATCAAATCTTCAATATCCATTCCATAACAATAGATTTTTGGAGGATCTTGAGGAAAATGGAAAAAAGGCTTGAAACTAGGATGAGGAATATATGGTGAAAAAATAGTCTTATTGGGGTTAAAGTTTGGAAGGTAGTTTGAACACCAATTGTTTTTATTTTATTTTATAATATAAGCGATATTGGGAGAGATGTTTTCTCACACACACATTGTTAAGGTACCATAAGAGTTCGAACTTGTGACCACTAGTCTACAAGTCAATACCCTTTTCCACTGGACTATACCCTATTAGCCCACAAAATACCTTTTGGTTAACTAGTTTGCTAAGAAATCACAATTTAACATCATAAGGGTCACCTAGAACAAAACGAAGGCTATGCATTCTTGGAAACCCAATATAACAGTAACCATGTAATCCAAAGTAGAAAATTGATTGCCATTTGGTGAAATTCGATAGTGAGGGGCGCCATATATGGATCATTTATGTTAACCTTCATGTTAGTCATTAGCCACAAGATTATTTCATCAAATATAAATGAAATTACTGTTCAAATTAATCATATGGCTAATATAAAGGTCTATATTTATAATTCATAAATGACACCCTTATCATAAAACAACTCTTCGGAATTGTTTGATGTTGGCATGATGATCTGGCTGAACATATGACAAGTTGGGCTATCGAGTCAAATAAAACTGGAAAAAAAAAAAAGCACATAATAATGGTAGCTGACTCTTATGATGCTTTGCACTTAGCCACAAACCACAAGGCACCAAAAAGCGCCGGCTTTTTCCTGTTTGCCACGTCGTTTGTGATACAAAAAAGGTTACAATCCACGTTGGATGTAAGTTTTCAAATTCCACTATGATTTAATGTTTATCTATAATACTTTGGTGGTTTGAATATCTCTCCTTCTACTTAATTATTGAGAATCCTTGGCCTTTCCTTTTTAATTTGGTCTTTTGCACTTCTAATTAAAAATATATGAATTTTTTAAAAAAATTATATTAAACAGAGTTAAAAACTGAGGAGTTTTTTTTTTTTTTTTTTTATAATTATTTTATTTTTTATAATATGGTGGAAATTATGTGACCCTAAATCAAATGATAATTAGAAAAATATAACATTTTATTTGTGCATTTTAGTTGAAGAAAAATTTATGTGAGCTCATCACATTGCACACGTTGTGAAATTTGACAAATAGTAGTAGGTTACACATTCATTATTAGGGGAAAATAAACTTCTATGCGACAACCTCAACAAAATTATATTCAACGGGTGGAGCCCTTTTTTTTTGTTTTTTATTTAAAAAGACTTTTTCTATCAAGAAATGCAATATTATATTAAATTCACACATACTACACGGATACTAGGACTTGAACCCATGACCTTGCCTAGAAGAGTAATTCCTGCAAACCACTATACTAGTGGATCATTTTCGGGGTGAAGCCACCTTAGACTACAGTGAGCCCTAGATTAGTCCAAATATTTAGAATAACAACAATTCAATCTTCATTTTAAAGAAGTTTAGTGGAAATTAGCCCACCCAATTTCATATTATATTAGCATGTCCTATTATAACAACTCCTTAAATGAAAAGGAAGATTATAGCCCACACTAAAAAAAAATTAATGGCTCCTCCCATGTTTATATTTTTATGCTTAGTTCTCTCATCATGTGACTAAAGATGTAAGAATATATATATTGACATAAAAGATCAATGAGATCATTTTATGAAAATTTATCTTATCTCACTATTATTATGAAGACGTGTTACACGGTCTATACTAGAAGTTTTGTTGCCTCTCTATCCTTAGATGATACCGATTGTCAAGATTATTATTAATCAATTTCAGGATGAATAATAATTTAAGAGAAAATTTGTGTCCAACAAGCAAAAGAATTGAAGAGAAAATCAACTAGCCATCCCCCATTTGAGTAAAATAAATACAATCCCACCGTCACCATGGCAAAGTTCAAGTGGTAGACTACTTGCAAAGTTTTCTTTACTTGTTGGACACACATTTCCGAGTGACCAAACGGGCCCCGGGAGCTGGTGGTAAGAGAGGAAGCCCAAGGGTATATATGGAATTTCATGCGGGACACACCAAAACCTAAAACCTAAAACAGAATGAGAGTATAAACACAGCCTCTTTTTAACACTCGCCCACTTTCAAACTCCACGGCGCAGATCCGAGGAGTTTGGGAAACCCTAGCTCTCTTTTAGCAACCTACTATTCTTCTCTGTTTTTTCTCTCACTAGCGCTCATCAACATCATCAGGTCGCTTTCTCTTTCTCTCTGTCTCATACATGTTCATTCATATTCGTATATATGTGATGGGGGAATTTTAAGTTGATTGATTTTTGTGGATGAAGTCTTTGTTTTGTTAGTGAATTCGTATGTTTTTCTTTGCGTTCTGGATCTAGATCCATGTGCTTGATTTGTGTGCAATTTCTTATTTTTCTCTGTTACAGATGGATTTTAATGGTACTCTGTTTGGTTATCGAGAAATTAGGGGGAGACTATTTGTGGGTTTTATCGTTCTGGAAACCAATTTGAGCATGAAATTGAAGGATTCTTCAGTTTTCTCAGCAGCCCATCAGCGAGTGATCAATGTTTGTGTAGCTAGTTAGTGTGGAAAGTGACAGTTCATGTTGTTTCATTGTATGCCTCTCTGTGGGGCTTATGTAATTGAAGGACAGCTAAATTTATGGTGAAATAGGTATTAGGATACTCTGTCCACAGTCTATATGTTTCCTTGGTCTCCTTGTTTCTATGTTGAAATGCAAGATTTTTTTTTTCCACGTGTTGGTGTAAAGAAATTGTGTTGTCTAGGAGTTGGGGGCGAAGAGTTTATGACTTAATGTTTTTTTTTTCTGACATCTAAAGAATTGTACTGTAATTTCCCGATTTGATTGTTAAAGCTGATTTCCTAATGTAATTATCGATTTGACCTTCTTATGCTTAGATGAAGAGGCTTATTATTTGTTACCTTTTGTCAAATTATTTCTGTGACATATGGTGGTGCTTGAACCTTGTTAAGATTTGGGGGAGTGGGCAAAGCGATGTATGTTTGCTTGTGGATTAATTCTCTCGATAGTTGATGGACACATGCCCTTTCAAACAGCTTCTCCAAAAAGTAGAACAAGAGTTAATGCTTGTTGTCCTACTTGTTTGGTTAGCAAGTTTGCCTCTTCTGTGACATATTCTGAATAAATGTTCTTTAAAGGCGTCTTGTTTGATATGGAAGTGCTTGAATCTTGTTGATATTTGGAGGAGTGGTCAAATCCTTGTCTGTTTGCTTGTGGGTTCATTCTCTGGATAGCAGAAGGACATTGGCCCATTAAAACTGCTTCTCCAAAAATTAAAACAGGAGTTAATGCTTGTCGTCCTTTTTGTTTGGTTAACAAGTTTGGCTCTTCTGTCACATTATTTTTAATTAGTATTCTTTCAAGCCATCTTTGGTAAGCCTTTGCAATTCCATATTTATTGTGGACAGAGTAATAAGTGCACATAATCTGGCTCCTTATTTTATTTGTATGACTGGATTCTAGGAGTCTTCAAGATAGTGTTCTTTTGGGTATTATGGAACCTTAAAGTTACAAATGGTTTTCTTTCAGCAGTCATGGCAGGTGTTGCACCCGAAGGATCACAGTTTGATGCAAAGCAATATGACACTAAAATGAGTGAATTGTAAGTTGCCTTTGTGAAGATAATAATCCAATGCGTATGATTAGATTTCACCTTATACAATGTTTTGACAAGTTTATTTGTTGTAGGCTCTCAACTGATGGACAAGAGTTTTTCACATCATATGATGAGGTTTATGAAAGTTTTGATTCCATGGGGTTGCAAGAAAATCTTCTGAGGGGAATTTATGCTTACGGTAGGTGTAGCTAAGTTCATTATGTGGTTGTCTTTTGTTTGATTCAATCATTTTCAATTGTGAAGTTGTCATAAGTCATGATAAATCCCAGTGGGGAAGGAATACATAGATATTATTTCTAATATTCTGCTTTGCAACTTCTGAATTTTCATTATTACTTTTTGCAATAGGGAACGTGAATACCTTTTTTCTTTGTAGTTATATTCATCTATACATGTCCTATATGTTTCAAGTGTATAATCGTGTTTATCTTCTGAAGGTTTTGAGAAGCCCTCTGCAATTCAGCAAAGGGGTATTGTTCCATTCTGCAAAGGCCTCGATGTGATTCAACAGGCTCAGTCTGGAACCGGAAAAACTGCAACCTTCTGCTCTGGAATTTTGCAGCAACTTGATTATGCTGTGGTCCAGTGCCAGGCTTTGGTTTTGGCACCTACCAGGGAGTTGGCACAGCAGATTGAGAAGGTTATGCGAGCACTTGGTGACTATCTAGGCGTGAAGGTTCATGCCTGTGTAGGAGGGACAAGTGTTCGTGAGGATCAGCGCATTCTTCAAGCTGGTGTTCATGTTGTTGTTGGAACCCCTGGTCGTGTATTTGACATGTTGCGGAGGCAGTCTCTTCGTCCAGATTACATCAAGATGTTTGTGTTGGATGAGGCCGATGAAATGCTTTCTCGGGGTTTTAAGGATCAGGTTTGTTATTTGTATTGTGGTTTCGATATTCGTTTTACTTGATTTGGCCATTTAGATTTAGATGGCCTTTTATATTCATTATCCTAACTACTTGAATGTTTTGGTGGTCAGATCTATGACATTTTCCAGCTTCTGCCATCAAAAGTTCAGGTTGGGGTGTTCTCTGCTACAATGCCACCTGAAGCCCTTGAAATCACGAGGAAGTTTATGAACAAACCTGTGAGGATCTTGGTGAAGCGTGACGAGCTCACCCTTGAGGGTATCAAGCAATTTTATGTCAATGTTGATAAAGAAGAATGGAAGCTTGAGACACTTTGTGATCTGTATGAGACCCTGGCCATCACCCAGAGTGTTATTTTTGTTAATACAAGGCGAAAGGTGGACTGGCTTACTGACAAGATGAGAAGCCGTGACCACACTGTCTCAGCTACTCATGGTGACATGGACCAGAACACTCGTGACATTATCATGCGTGAATTCCGCTCTGGCTCGTCCCGTGTTCTCATAACCACTGATCTTTTGGCTCGTGGTATTGATGTGCAGCAGGTATCTCTTGTCATAAATTATGATTTGCCGACCCAACCAGAGAATTACCTTCATCGTATTGGACGAAGTGGAAGGTTTGGAAGGAAGGGTGTTGCCATTAACTTTGTGACCAGGGATGACGAGAGAATGCTGTATGACATTCAGAGGTTTTACAATGTGGTCATTGAGGAGCTGCCATCAAATGTCGCTGATCTGCTCTGAGGAGATGATTTTGTTTTGCTTTTCTTTTTGAGGCAGATTTTCATTATCCTGTTTTGAAAGTACTATTTTAATGTTTTTTTGTCATTTTGTTTTTTTCATCAATTTATGCTGTCAAACATATCTAACTGTTTAATGGTATGCGCCTTCTTGCTCAATTTCGTCGTATAAAAAAGACTTTTAGGATGTCTGTTTCATACTTTGGCTGTGCTTCTGGCTTTTTGTTATTTGGTTCAGTCGCAGTTTTCGTTGTACCTCTTCTTACCTTGAGAATTTAGTACACAAAAGAGGGGTTATTTTGCTCTTACCTTGACAATTTTGTCTATGTTAATGGTTGTGTATATTTGCTTACGTAAAAGTTACTTGTAATTTATTTAGAGTGGTGATTTACCCACTCTTTTTTCTCCTATTTTATCCACTTACACTCCTTTTTTATAACTAAAAATGGAGTGTAAGTGGATAAAATAGGAGTGGAGAAATCATTGCCCTTTATTTATGAGATTTCTTCCGTCTTTTATTTTCTTTTGTATTTTTAACCCTTTAACAACTCACCGATAAAAAAAAAGAGGGAAAACTTAATCTTGATGGAAGGATTTTTGTTCTCCAAGAAAAAAAGAAAAGAAACTTGAACGCATAAGAGGGCTATTACCTAAACCCAGGGCTGACCCTGACTTTTGGGTGGCCTTAGGCTATAAATTAAAATGAGGCATATTTCTCGTTCATTCTCATGAATATAATAAACTAACATGAAAAAAAAATATTATGTCATTAAATACAATTTGGATAAATAAACACGGCTCGAGTATTGGTCATATAATCACTGTCCCAATCTGTAAATAAACAAGAATAAGGATACAAATAATTTGCACTCTTTCATATTTCCTCGCTATATAATCTACTAACAAGAATTTTTGGATAAATAAATGAATTTCTAGTCCCTATTGGCTTTCTTTCATTGATTGCTACTTCTAGCAATTAAAATACTTTTTGGCAATTAAATGCTTAAATACATGCAATTGATGTCGTATATTACATAATTTTCATTTGGACTCTTCAGACACACTTGTAATTAGATTTGGGGCCTCCAAATGCCAAACTATTGAAATTATTCTCCTCTAAAGTCATTCTTCAACTTGGTATATCTATATATATACCAGAAAATGCCATTGGTTAATTCAAACATTAAGAATTGAAATTATTAATTAAAAGAGAATAATATGATAAATTCACTTTTTTTTTATATTAAAACAAAATAAAATTAAAAACAAAATCAGATAATAGGTCATACTTTTATGGAACATAACTACCCATTTTATCTTTTCTTAATTCTAAAAATAAAATTTATAAATAAATAAAAAAAAATTAAAAAAAAAAAACAATTAGCACATGCTCAAAGGGCTAGTATATAATAATATATATAATTTGGGCCCTACAAATGCGAGACCCATGGCCATAGCCCTCCTTGCCCACCCTCAGGGCCGGTACTGCCTAATCCAACACTTTCAAACTTATATTCTGGTATAATTATATAGAAAACAAATTCAAACTTTGGCAAAAAAGAAAAAAGAAAAAAAGAAAGCAAATTCAAACCAATATCAGTGATAGAGGACAGTTGTGGAAGATAACCACAGGTATTTCTAAATTAGATTGAGTAAAACAAGTTGAGAGAATTTTAAAAATAATAATGGTATGTTTGGATGAGGAATTTAGACGAGGTATTTGACCTTTCTTAAGATTTATAAATCCACATGGACCAAATGACTTATTTGGTAAAGCCCAAATTCCTTTATGAAGTAACGCCTCACTATTATCAGTATTGCAACAACAATTCATTATACCCTTCCTACAGATTTTGGGAAAGCATCTTTTGATAAGCAACTTAAAAACTCCTCATTATCATGGATTTATATAATTCTTCCCAATTAGGAAAATACTTTCCTCTTTCTCTCGAAAAGGAACTCCTACTTTTGTGCAATCACAGTTTGACATGTGTATAGAGATTTTTATTTTTATGCTTTTGATAATTATTTTTGCTATATGTGTTAAAATGTGATTTGTTAGAAGTAAAAATACCTTCCTCCAGGAGGGGAGGAGTCAGTGTCCTTGTTGAAATAGTATGAACTTCCAGTGTTTTACCAAATAGACAATTCCGATCACAATAGGAAATGCACCATTGCTTGGATATCAAGCAACCAAAAGGTTTTTGTTTCCTATATAAGTAAAGCAAAAGCTCAATCTCCCCCACACAAAATACCCTAAGTTCGAAATAAGAAGAAGAAAGATCGGTATACCAATAAGCTCTATCTAATATTTTCTTATTTTCTAATTACTGAACCAAGGAGATTACAGTACCACCGCACAGCAGTTATCAATGGAGAGGTCTGATCAAGAACAGACCTCCGGCACCACGGTTGTCTTGGCATCCCTCACTGGCTTAGCAATTGGAGGGTCACTTGTGGCCATGATGGGGTTCAGCATCTTGGCCTCAGTGGCACTAGTTTTGTTGACTGCCAACATCACCCTACTACTTTTTGCTGGCTTTGCGTTTGTTGGAGCAATTTCTGGGTTTGTTTTGGCTCTGGCCATGGCTCTCGCCAGTGTGCTTATGCTGGAGAGGATGCTCCAGAAGCGTGGAGGCACAAGCCTTTTGAGTTTTGGCAGTGAGACTGAGACTGAGACTGAGACTCTGGTGCCTCAGAGCGAGACTGAGACTCTGGAGCCTCAGACTGAGACAGTGAGCAAAGAACAAGTCCAGCATGAGAATAATGAACAGGGTAGGGCACAGAGTACCTTCTAGTTCTAATTAGCAAAGTCATTTACTGCATGTTGATGTTGATGGTTAATTAGCTATGGTAAATTTTAAAACTCTTGGGTTTTAGTTGTTTTTGGCGTCTTAGTAAGCAATTTCGAACATGACAATTAAGAATTCCTCAGTTTTCTCAGCAACCCATTAGCGGATGATTAATTTTTTGTTTATATTTTTATTTTCAATGCTAGTTATTATCTCTCTTTGTGGAGCTTTCTGTATCTGTGTTTTTGTTGGACTGCAATACTTCTATGTTTGAAACTATACTGTATAGAAAATCATGTTTAGCCATTTGAATGTTGAATTAAATTACTCATGGTTTTCTGTCTACAGATAATATGGTCGGTCTAGCTCCTGAAGAAGAAGAGGATTTCGCAACATTCGACGAGGTTTACCACGATTTTGAGTACATGGGATTGCAATATAATCTTCTGAAGGGCATTTTTGCTTATGGTAAGCATTTATGATTACATGGGCTTTGCTTTTTTGTATGACACAATGGCTTTCCCTTTTGAAGTTGTCATGATTTATCCTTGAAAACTAGGAATCCATTTATTTTTTGTTTGTTAATTTACTTTTTATCATTTAGTTTCAAATTTTTTTGTTTTTCCATTAGGCAACATTATCAAGTACTTTCTTTCAAAACAGAAAAGAAAATACTATTTCATCTTTACCTTTTGCCTTGATATTTAAAGTATATGATTCTGGTTTTGTTTGGAAGGTTTTGAGAAGCCTTCTGCAAGTCAGCAAAGGGGCATTGTTCCTTTCTGTGATGGCCTGGATGTGATTCAACAAGCTCAGCCTGGAACTGGAAAAAGAGCTACTTTCTGCTGCGGAATTTTGGAGAAACTTAATATTGATTTGGTCGAGTGCCAGGCTTTGGTTTTGGCCCCTACCAGGGCCTCGGCACTGAAGACTGAGAAAGTTATGCGAGCACTTGGCGACTATCTTGGGCTGAGGGTTTATGCTTGTGTCCGTGGCAGAACTCGTCATGAGGGTCAACGCATTCTTCACGCCGGTGTTCACGTTGTTGTTGGCACTCCTGATTGTGTATTTGAAATGTTGAGTAGCCAGAACCTTTACCCAGATCACATACATATGATTGTATTGGATGAGGCTGGTGAAATGCTTACCGGGAGCTTCAATGATGAGGTTAGTTATCATGAACTTCTTTTGCCAAACAGTGTGACATGTTATGTTGTTTTCGCATTGAATGTATGATCTAAATTGATAGAACGACAACATAACACACTACATTATATATGCAAGAGCCCTTGTTATGCATTAAGATTGTTAGTCTTTTCTTTCTCCCACTACTTTTTATGGGTTTGGATTATTATTTGACATGGTGTTTTGGTGCAGATCCTTCACATTTTCCAGCTTCTGCCATCACCAGTTCAGGTTGGGGTGTTCTCCGCTACAATGCCACCTGAAGCCCTTGAAGTCACAAGAAAGTTTATGACCAATACCAAACCTGTGAGGATCATAGTAGAGCATGATGAGCTCACCCTTGAGGGCATCAAGCAATTTTATGTCAATGTTGAGGAAGAAGAATGGAAGCTTGACACCGTTTGTGAGCTCCATAATTCCTTATCCACCTACCCAACTGTCATCTTTGTTGATACAACTCAAAAGGTGGAGTGGCTTACTGACAGGATGAGAAGCCTTGACTACACCGTCTCTGCTATCCACGTTGACACGGACCTGAACACTCGTGACACAATTCTGCTCGAATTTCGCACTGGCTCTTGCCCAGTTCTTATCACCACAGATCACTTGGCTCGGTGTATGGATGTGCAGCAAGCAAGTCTTGTAGTAAATTATGATTTGCCAAATCAACCAGAAAACTATCTTCATCGTATAGGACGAAGTGGAAGTTTCGGAAGTAAAAGTGTTGTCATCAACTTTATGATTAGGGATGAAGAGAGAAAGGTGCTTGACATTCAGAAGTTTTACAAATTGGTCATTGAGGAGCTGCCTGCAGATTTTGCTCATCTCTTCTGAGCAGCTTATTTTGTTTTCAATCCCTTCCCTTTTCTTTTTGAAACTTTGAGGCAGAGTTTCTTATCCTTGTTTTGCAAGTTATATCTTAAACTTTATCTTCTTGCATTTTGTTTTTCACTCAATTAGTGGTGTAAAAAATATCTAACTGTACTTCAATGGTTTACTTACAGAAAGAAGGTACTGTTTTGGATTGGTTTATATGTAAAGCTTGGTTTCATATGGTTGCTGTTTTGGAAGTTTTTGCCTAATTCTCAAATAAGTATTTTATGTTAAGGATTGGTTACGTACTTTTAATCTCGGCAGTTGGATTACATTCATTAAATGTGTTAGTAGTCTCTTAGATGCAATCCAATGGTCGAGATTAGAAGTATGTAATCAATCCTTAACTTAAATACTTATTGGACAATCTCCTTTTTTTAGTTTTAA